TTGCGGGTGGGCTGGGAGCTGTGGCTGCCCGCACTGACCAGCACCGTGGGAGGATCACACTAGGTGTCAGAGCGAGACCCTGGGTGTAAAAAGAGTGACATTTCGATTCCCTGTCAGTAGGTGAAAAATCAGTGCCATTTCTTTTACTGAGAAGAGAATTGTAAAAATGAGTAGATGACAGTGTCATAAAAACTAACCCTTAAAATACTATTAATTCATAAAGGTAAGATTGGTAGTTGCCAGGGCAGAGAAAAAGGATGTGTTTGATGGATGCCAAAACTCATTTGGGGAAGATGAAAAACATCTAGAGCTGGATGCAGTGCTGTTTGGACTACAGTGTAAATACACTGAAAGCCACCTGGATTGTACACTGAAATGGTCAAAATGATACTTTTAGTCACATATATTTTACATGAGCTAACACCAAGTAGTATCCTGCACTGGTCAGAGCCACATCTGTCCCTTAACACCCTCTGCCCCCCCCACACAGACACCCCACACCCCGCCCCGTGAACCTGCAATGCTAGACCTGAGAGGAACTCAAACATCATCTGCTTGCTGCAGTTAGAGTGGCCACCAGGAGGCGATATTGTGCCACTGCATGTTTCTGGGCCCCTGTGTACAATATTTATGCTTCTCTATGAAAACATCCCTGTGTGCTCCCAAGGCCACTTGAGCCTTCCCTGTATGTTTCCTTGATGAAACAGCTTATATGAAATGCATTTCATTTTAACGTGTGTGTGTTTGTGTGTGTGTGTGTGTGTGTGTGTGTGTGTGTGTGTGTGTGTATGTTGTGGCTGCAGCTGTACTGCAGGAATAGCCGCCACAAGGCATAGCATGGCCAGGGTGTGCCACCACCTGGACAAAGGGCCCCACAAAGTAACTGACCAGCCAGAACACCATTCCTCTTTGAAATGGCAGCCGATGGAGTTCTCTGCTCATTAAAGAGCGTGGTGGTCAGGACAGGGTAGGGGGCAGCTGAGAGCAGGAGCTGAGCCTCTACAGGAAGCAGCTTACACTGAGTGAGGGGAGGAGCTCCCCCCACCCAGCACCAGCTCCTTAGTCAAGGCCTTGTCCTCCAGGCCCAATCATGCAAGGTTTTCACTTTGCTGCCCCTGTTTGGTTAAGTTTGGCCACTGGTGATTGGCACCTACGAAAACCAGGCATGGCCTTCTGTAGGAGGATGGGGTGGAGGGCACCGCATCCCTGCCTGCCTGAAAGACCAGGGCCCTGCTGGGGTGCAGCCACCCAGGAGGGTTGGGAGAAAACAGAGCACCATCTCCTGCTCAGAATCAAGGAAAGGACCCCGTTGGAGGCCAGGGCCCTGCTGGCCAAGTTTTCCATGCTCTCCCCTGCTTCTCCCTGCTGTCTCTCCTTCCTCTTCTGGAAGCAGCGACCCAGATGTGGGGCAGGAAGGGGCATGCAGACCTCTGGTCACCCAGAAATAGTCAGTGCCCTGACCAGGAGCCCGGAGTCTGAACAGCGTGGCCAAGAATCCAGCCACGTAGACCAGGGCTGCCTGCCGCTTCCAGAAACTCACGAGTCCTCTTAGATGTAGTTAAAATGCAGGTCCCCATGTAATAGGTCTGCAGAGGGCCTGAGATGCTGCCTTGCTAACCTGTTCCCTGCTGACACTGCCACCTGAGCACCACCCCTGAGTTCTTGATGGAATCACCTGGGCGCACAGCTGGGCTCCCTTATGCACCCACCCGGTGGCCCGCAGATCTCTGATACTGAGGTACTTAGCGCCTGGACACCATCCCTCATGCCAGGTCCCCCATCTGCCTCCCTTTACACTTGGCACAGGGTCATGTGTCTTCCTGGCCATGCCATGCCCCACAGATTCTATCCCTGACTTCTCCTCTCTCAGTGACATGGGGATATTTCCTGGGTTCACCAGGATATCAAGATGCCTATGTCAGGAACACTTCCTCCCACAGCCCGAGCCCAGCTGTCTTCCTCAGCACCCTTACAGCTTCTCGAGGGACCCTCTGGGAGTGAGCGTGGATGTCTGGACCTCCCTGCCCAAAGAGAACGAGTGTTGCTTCTCCCACTCCTTGGGACAGGGACCCCCAGTTCCAGAAAACTCAAAATGTCTCCAGACACACTAATAAAACAGTCAGGCATGTGCCAGCAGTGCAGTATTTTCTTTATTTTAATGATGCCAGGGAAGGGAAGAGCCCTCGCGGAGAAAGTTCTGGTTAGTTGGTGCATGTTCTGGACTCAGAACCAAACCAAGGTACCGAGTGACAAACACTAAACGCACGGATCACCAATTGAGATTTTAGAATGAACCTTTATTAGCTGTCCAGAGACTGACTGAGAGCCTCCACGCAGGGTAGGATTAGATTAGTAGCAAACCAGGTATGAGAGCAGCTTTTAAGCCAAAAAACCACATCCTGCTTGGCAAGTGAAGTCTGTGAAGCAGTCTTCCGAGAAACTATAGAAACTTTAGGAAACTTACAAGAAAGGAACGATATGTTTCAGGGAGTTTCAGGAAGTGGCTAGAATGCAGAATGACGCAAGTGGAAAGGACAAGAGGGGGAGTAATCAGTAATTTTTCAGGTTCTTTGTCAGGCCATGCGTGTCCCTTGTGAGGCCTTTACAGTGCAAGCCGGCAGGATGTCACGAGAGCAGCCTTCCCAGAGGAGTTGGGGGGCAGCAGGGTGCACAGCCAAGGACAGAGGTTAAGGTCACAGGGAGGGCCCTGCAGGCCTCCTTGTTACTGCAGTGCACAGCTGTGTCTTGGGACCCAAGTGGGGTTGCACAGAGGATGGGAGCAGACTGAGGGCCGCATGCAGTGTGGGGCTTTGCTGGAGGCTCAGCAGGCTCGGGACCACCTCAGGGCGAGGAGGAGTGGAGCTGGCGCTTTGCTCAGAGGTCAGGGCTCCAGAAGCCAGTGCGGGGCATGGAGGAGGAGCCAGAGGAGATGCAGACAGTGGTGCAGCAGGCCAGGGAGCCCACCTAGACATTCACTGTAGTAAGCTCGAGCTCGCCCTCCTCCTCCAGGTGACTGATGGCTGGCAGGTCCTTCAGGCGGTGGGCATATTCCAGCAGATGTTGGCCATCCACAAACACCATGTAGCAGTGGGCTTGGCATATGATCTCCACGTGGACAGAGAGGCCTTGCCAGTCACACTCCATGCAGAAAGTCCAAAGCCCTCCTGCAGGCTCGGGCCCCTCCTTCCCACCTCCTCCTCTCCCCCAACCAGCCCCTCCCCTACCCCCACTGAAGGTCCTGCTCCTCCCTAAACCTGCTCTCAGCCTGCATCTCTGTGCCTGTTTCACTGCCAGGCACCTCAGAACCCAGCCCCCTCTGGCAAGCCTTCCCTGTTCCCACTTGACCCTCCCAGGGGACCAGCCGCCTCTTCAGGCCACCAGGAGCAGTACCGCTGGCTTGGGGCCTCTGTGTCCCCCACATCCATGCCTGGACTTTGCAGCAGCAGCAGCAGCAGCCTCCTGACTCCTCCTTTCCTGCCCAGGACCTTCTCCAGGAGGCCGTCAGTGTACGAAGGGCAGTGCTCACTCTTCCATCACACTCGCATGCAGGGCACTGTGCTAGCATGCACAGAGACTACCGCAGCCCATTCCCACAGCTCTCTGAGATCCCGGGATTCTTACCCCATTTGTAGATGAGGAAAGGGAGCTGCAAAGACCCAGTGACTGACCCTGGCTGAAGGGCCCTTCCCCAAGGTCACACAGCCACCTATGAATCAAAGGTACTGTTCCCTGCTGTTGCTCCCCAATGGCTTCTCATTGCAGTAAATCCAAGCTCCCTTCCCAGCTCACACAGCTCTAACCAGTCATTTCCAACCCAGACTGCAGAGGGCAGTCATCCAGGACATAACTTCTGCCTAAGTGGGTGCCCGGGCTGACAGTCTCGATGGTTGAGGGAGTGATGGCAGGATTCATGGATCTGCCTTCCTTTCTTTTTTTCTGTTTTTGTTTGTTTCTTTTCCTTTCCTTTCTTTTTTCTTTCCTTTTTCTTTCCTTCCATTCTCATCCTTCCTTCCTCTTTTCTTTCTTTTTCTGTGGTACTAGGGAATGAATCCAGGTCCTTCATTTACACTGTGGTACCCTCTTTTTTATTTTTTACTTTGACTCAGAGCCTAAGTCACTGATTGCACAGCCTGGGATCAGACTTGTTGGGATCCCCTGTCCCATGTGCTGCTATTACAGGTGCATGTGTCTCTGCACCTGGCTTTAGTGTTTTTAAGCCCTGTGGGGGATCTGAGCGTAGTCAGGGTGGAGAAGGCCTGCTCATGGTGATCAGGCTGCAGCCACAGTCCATACATCTCACCCTCACTCTGCACCTTGCAGTGCAGCTCTGGACAGGCCCCTCCCTCCTCTGCACTTCTGCCCAGAAGTAGGAGTTCCTCCAGCCCAGTTTTTCCTTCTGCTCAGCACCGGTCCTTATCTGTGCTGATCGGCTCATGCCTTAGTCTCCTTGCTTCTCCCCACCTAGGTCCAGCCCCATGGGGTAGGACCTGCTCTCTGCTTCCTGGCTGCAGCCCTGGGCATGGGGCACTTCCTGCACCACACAGGCCCAATCAAAGAGCTAATAAATGACTGCTGGGTGAACAAGCAAATAAATGACTGGCTCCTCATTCGTGGGAGTGATGGGCAGCAATGGTCCATGTGATCCCTGGAAAGTAACTTATCCTGTGATTTTTTTTGCTCATTTATAAAACTTAGATGGTAACATTTGCCACACAGGAGATAGTAATCTTAAATATTAATAGTGTGTGGCACATTCTCTCCCCCTTGGGGCCCAGCCCTCCTATCACAGGCATCAGCCCCCACCCCATTCAAGGTACCCTGGCCCTCCTCACCCCTTCTATCCTTGCACCCAGTGAGCTGCCCAAGCTCCAGGCTTCAGCATCTTACCTTGAAGCTGTATCCTCGTCTGAAGGTCATATTGAAGGGCAGCCATCGTTCCTCTGACCCCCAGATGCCCTGAATCTGAGTGTTTCAGACCACAGTATTTTCATCAAAATGAAGGTTCAGGTTGAAGGCGATGTCACTCTCGGTGCACAGGTTGATGCTGAACCTGGGGTAGTCACATCGCATGGACCCGCCTTGTCCCCTGAGGCCTGTCCACCCCCTCCCACTCATCCCCCTCCTGCCTGGAGCCAGGTCATGACTCTCTCCTCCCTGAGGTCCCTGGTGGTCCTGTCTTACCTCTGAGCATTTTCCAGGACAATGCCTGACACAGTAATGACCTTGGATGGGTATAGCCCGCCTGGGATGGAGGCATGGTAAGGAAGCTGTTGGGAGGATGGGACAGGTCAGCCAGTGACCACAGAGAGCCGCCACTGCAGCAAGGAATTCTGTACCAATTGTCAGGGACTTGAACAGTCAGCTGAGTCAGAAAACATGCCTAAGAGAAGGCATGGTCTTCCTATCAAGCCAGCAAACCACTACTTGATTCATTGGTTCAAAAACCAAGGGAAAACTTAGTGTTCCCAAAGCAGGGAGGCTTCGCTGTCATAAAATCAACTTTGGCTGGACACTAAAGCATTCTGGGGTGACAAGCATAAACCATACAATTACTCACGCTCATGGACCATTTTAATATTAAAAGTTCCTGTCACAGAATTATGAATATACATCAATACTATAAAATGTCAGCT